ATCAACAGCAGCGCTCTCCACAGGGCACAGTGAGTAGCTGGGAGCAGAGCAGAACGCCAGAGCCGTTTCCCAGGGCCAGGAGGTCTTGTGCTTTTAACTCCACTAGGGGACATGGGGAGACCTGGCTTTGCAGAAAGTGCCCGGCCCTGTGTCCTACCCCAGAGGCCCAGTGCCTGCTGCTCTGGGGAAGGTGAGATGAGATTGCAGCAGGGGGTGGGTCCAAAGACAGACAGACGTGGAGACAGGCTTCATCTCACTTTAGGGTGACCGGAATAATTCCCTCCTACATAAGAGCACAGGGGGTGCTAGGCTGTGTTGGTTGTGGGGGCAGAGGCCAGATGTGGCTTTTAAGTGGCCCCATTCCATCCCCTGGTGAAACAGGGTGCAGGCCCTCCCTCTCCTCTTTCCCATGTAGGGGATGATGGTCCCAGAGCTTCTGGACACCCCCTTGTCCCTTGGTCCATCCTCGGCTCCTGAGGAAGCTGTGGGCTCATGGCGTGGATCAGAGTCCCAACAGCGCCTTCTCAGCTTGCCAGCCACGCGCCCCACGCTGCCTCCCTGCCCTGTGGCCATAGTCAAGACATTCCTTTCAGGCTAGGCCTCAACCTGAAAATGCAGTGGAGGGGACACTGATCTCCTTTGTCAGTTCCATCTTCGGGGCCCCGTGACAGGTGCCCTAGGAATCCAGCCTCTGCCGTGCACACATTTCCAGCTCCTGCTTAGTTCCAGCCCAGACTTCAGCTTTTCGAAAGTGCTCTGTCTCCCAAGGCCGGTGGCTTCTAAAGTAGGAGCCGTCAGGGCTGGGGCAGCGGCACTTCGCTTTCATCCAGGGTGAAGTGGAAATTCCCCAGCATCCCCAAAACTGCCGGAAATCAGGTAAGCAGGAATTTAAGGCTCCTTAAATAGGAAATCCATGAAGCCTGTGGCAGAGTAGAGTCAGCTCCCAGGTCTTGGGCACCCTGCTCTGCACCTTACACCCACGTGCTGCTGGGGTCAGTGCCTTGGCTGACCAACTGCTAAGCGGTCAGCTGGATCTCTAGCTCTCTTCTCAGAGAATCTGTATTTTATCAGTACTATGACTGGGTAATACCTCTGCATCCACCAAGTCCAGAGGGCATAAAGGGGAGTGCTGTGTAACGTCCTCTGGGCCCCCTGGGAGCTCCTGTTTGGTTTATGATAAACTCGTGACGGCTTTCAGACAACTCTGTTTCTTCACAGTCTGTAGCTACAATATCTAAACAGGAGGCTGAGAGGCCTGTCTCGGGGTTCAGGGGCTGCACGTTGGCTTCATCAAGCTCCCAGGACCATGGGCCTCCCTCTCCTCTGTTGGGAACTTGCTGCCCTTCCTGAGCCTCTTTTAACGGATGCTCCAGCACCTGCCCAACAGTGAAGTTGCCGGGGCTGTGATATCAGATTCCACGCTTGCACTTGTAGCTTAACTTGAGCAGTGTGCGTTTTTATTGGAAAACTGTTCTTTTGGACATGTGCCTTTTTTTTTTTTTAAGATTATTGCATTCTTGAGGTTTTTGATTACACCTTGGACAATGCAGTTTTGTGGGAACACACACATTTGATTTTATATTGGGAAGCACTAGGGGAACTGGGGTTTGAATTCCTGAAATCTTCATGAGCCATTTTTCAGAAACCTCTCTTTCGTATTGGAGGGGCCTGCCCCCCAGTCTCTGCCACAGTTCAGGAAGGCAGCTGCATCGTGGGTGTGGGTGTGGAGGGGAGGAGAGGAGACAGGAGCAGCTGGGCCGTGGTGTAGTCAGGGCCTGGAGTGTAATGAGTGTCCTGCAGCAGTGCCTGCTCTAGGTTCTGCTGGACACCAGGGGAGGCCTCTGCCCTGTGTGCAGGGCTTATGCCATCATTATGATGGTGGGATTCCAGAGTGAATTCTTGCGCTCTAGTGATGGAATTAGATCCAGAGATTTTGGTGACAAGGCAGGCCACGCCTGCATCCTCTGAAGTGTGTGTGTGTGCCTGCTCCCCAGACATGGAGGGGCTAGTTCCTCCCTCTTAAACCCAAAGGTGCTCAAGCGCCTTGCCAAGCACAGTGCAGCTCTTCCCGGCCTGCTTAGCGACTCAGGACCCGCCAGTTTCCTGGTAAGCCACCCCCACAGGCATCCCTGATGGGCGGAGCATGGCAGTTTGCAGCAGGTGCCAGCCCAGGTTCTAACAGACTCAGCATATTAGAGTTTTCTGAAGACTCGAGTCAAGCCCCTTAAGGAAAGCTGCCTTTTTCTCCCATCGGGGTGGCTGTGGCCACTGGCAGTGGCCTGGGCAAGGGACCTCAGGCCCAGCATGCACAGCCAGTGCCCCTGGACAGGGACCTTCTGTGACGTCCTCTAGAGGCTCTGCTGTTTACTGTTCTTGACCCTGTGCTATGAGGAGTCACCTGCAGGTGGGGGTGGAAGAGTCACACCAGGGTCCTAGGCTTGGCTCAGCCTCTAATAAGCCATGGGACCTCAGACAGGTCCTGTCTTTCCTTGGCCTCCATGTCTTCAAAGGATAATTATAAGCAGCAACTCACAAGAGCTGGCATATAATTGATAAGCATTTGGGAAGATGTCCTCCCTCTTAGTGATCAAAGAAGTAAACATAACCAAGTGTCATCTTAACATTACAAATCATAATAACAGTAGTATTCAGAGTTTGCACTGTAAATCAGCATCATCCTTCACAGAAGGCATAAAATGTCCATACCCTTTGACCTAATAATCTCACTTCTGACAGGTTTAGCCCAAGGAAATAATCCAAGAAAGGGAAAGAGCATTAGCCAAAGGTGTTCCAGTTTTTTATGAAATAAGGAGCATTCTAAATGCTTTAATAGGGATTGGTCATGTAAACAGTGATGGGCCCATTTTTGGAAATATTAAAATCTATGGTCATGGAGTCTTGCAAGATGGGAGTAAATATATGTGACACAATGTTAAAAGGATTTAAAACTTTGTCACAATGGCAACTATATAAAAATATAGGTGCCTATACATACAGACTGGCAGGGACATGCAGAGACTGGCTGCATTAGGGTGATAAGGTTGGGCAATTTTGTTTTCTTTCAGTTTAATAGGTTTTATTGACATACAATAATCCACATACCGTACGATTTCCCCATTTAAAGTGTGCAATTTGGGGACTTCCCTGGTGGTCCAGTGGTTAACACTCCGTGCTTCCAATGCAGGGGGCACAGGTTTAATCCCTGGTCAGGGAGCTAAGATTCCGCATGCCGCAGGGCGTGGCCAAAAAATTAAAATATTTTAAATAATTGTGTGCAATTCAGTGGTTTTTAGTATATTCACAGAATTGTGCAACCATCATTACAGTTTTACAATATTTTCATCATCCCTAAAGGAACTCCGTAATTGCTGTTCTATGGCCAGCCCCCCAAACCCCTGGAAACCACGAATCTGCTTTCTGCCCCTATGGATTTACCTGTTCCAGACATTTTATATACGGAATCATATAATATGTGGTCCTTTATGTCTGGCTTCTTTCACTGAGCATAATGTTTTCAAGGGTCATCCAGGTTGTAGCTGTGTCAGTACTTCATCTCTTTTCATGGCTGAATTAATATTCTACTGTATGGAAATATATATATATTTATATCCAGTTTGTTTATCCATTTATCAGTTGATGGACACGAGTTGTTTACACTTTTTAGCTGTTATGAATAATTCTGCTATGAACATTCTTGTACTAGTTTTTGTATGGACATGAGTTTTCAATTCTTTTGGGTATATACCTAGGAGCAGAATTGCTGGGTCATGTGGTAACTCTATTTTAACCTTTTGAAGAACTGCCAGACTGTTTTCCAGAGCGGCTACACCAGCCATGTGGGGGGTTCCAGTTTCTCTACATGATACTTGTTATTGTCCTTTTCATTTTAGCCATCCTGGTGGGTAGGAAATGGTACCTTGTAGTTTGGATTTGCATTTTCCTTTTGGCTAACCATATTCAGGTTCTTTTCATGTGCTTATTGGGCATTTGTTTATCTTTGGAGAAATGTATGTTCAGATCCTTTTGCCCATTTAAAAAAATTGGGTTATCTTTTTTGTTAATGAATTAGAAGAGTTCTTTATATATTCTAAATGGTACAGGTCCCTGAAAAGATACATTATTTGTAAAAATTTTCCTCCACTGTGTGGGTTGTCTTCCCACTTTCTTGATGGTATCCTTAGAAGCACAAGTTTTAAATTTTGATGAAATCAGTTGTATCTTTTTTCACTTTTGTTGCTTGGACTCAGTTCCTCTGGCCCTGCCACTAATGTGTTAAATTTAATATTTAAACTTACTGACTCCAGGCTCCCTCTCCCCTGGCAGGATTGTTTGGGGCCCTCCATCCCCACATGGTTCTGAACTTAACACTGATGGGCTCTAGGAGGGAGCTATACTAGGAGACTTGCTTTCACTGTATATATTCTTTATACTGTTTAGTTTTTTTTTCTAGTTCATATTATATCAGTTTAAAAAAATGAGTCTCACTTTAAAATGCTACTAATTTTTAGCCTTTTATGCTGCTGAATAGAGTGAAGGAAGTGTCTTACTAAAGGACACAGAATGCAGACTCAGGGGCGGGAGGATGGCCTGCTTCCCCTGCTTCTCCCCCAGTACCCGGCAGCAGGTGCTCAGTGGACCTTGTGAAGGAAATGACCAACACTACCTCCTTCCTTCTCGCCCCATCCACTCCCCGACCAAAACAGCGCTGCTGCTGTGGGGAGAAGCCCTTGGTTCTGATTCCTTCCCACAGGGCATGTGGACATGAGGGGGCTGCTGTGGGCCTGGTGGGGAGTGGACAGAGGACTGGCCGTGGCCCTGAGGAGACAGCAGCTGTGGGGAAGGGAAGGGGGTGCTGAGGAGTGGGTAGGGACACAGGACGGCGCTGAGCTGGGCAGCGGGGGAGACACCAGACATACAGTGCCGAGGGAGTGTGGCTGCGTGGGGCCAGGTGCCCAGGGCAGCCGCTGCTGAGGGCGCTACCTGTTCTCCCCCTGAAACAGCTCCCCAGAACCCTGTGTGTCTGCCCAGGCCGGCAGTAGAAGGAGCCTCACCTGCCTATCTCCTCTGAGTACCTGGGATTGGAGGTAAAAACTCTCCCAGACCCCCTCCCACAAGCAGGCCACAGTGCCCTGGCGTGGAGGCCAGCCTGGTGCTCCCTAAGTTGGAGGGGAGGAGAGGACCAGTGACCAGACTGCCCTGTGAGAAGCCCTAGATTAGGTTCCCAAGCTGCTGGGTTCTGTCCCCTTCCCAGGGCCACCCGACTGTCTGGCTTTCACAAAGGAAGTGTGGGTGACCCCTGAAGCTGGTAGTTTCTGGAGGTTGGAGGATGGTGGCTCTGGGCTGGGTTACCTAAGCAATGGTGGGGCGTCTCCAGGGCCTACAGGGAGCCCAGTGTGCTCTCTCGAAGGAATTGGTCCCAGCCCATCGCAAGCGTGGAGATTTATGGGGAGGGGAGTGAAAGGTGACCTGAGCCCCGGGGCAGGGGACACCTGCAGGAGCCACAGGAGGCCCTGTGTGCTTGGGCTCAGCAGGGGCGGCTCTGAGGATGACCACACACCTTGTGCTGCAGCCCCTCATCACAGACCAGTGCCTGACTGGCGGTGGGGGGCTGAGGGGGGCGGGCTGGGAGCATACTTTGCATCTCAGTTTGTCCTCCAGGGTCCAGGAGAAGCAGCAAAGATGTCGAATGAGCCGCCCCCTCCTTACCCTGGGGGCCCCACAGCCCCCCTTCTGGAAGAGAAAAGTGGAGCTCCACCCACCCCAGGTAGGGTTCAGCGCTTGATTGCTGTCTCCTGCCCTTTCCAGCTGCTAGGAGCTGGTGCCTGGAGCAGCCCTCCGCCGATGGCTGGAGCCGTCTGAGCTTCTTCTCCCTGTCTCTCTGTGTCACTCTCTGTCCAGGCCGCACCTCCCCAGCTGTGATGCAGCCCCCACCGGGCATGTCACTGCCCCCTGCAGACATTGGCCCCCCACCCTATGAGCCGCCGGGTCACCCAATGCCCCAGCCTAGCTTCATCCCCCCACATGTGAATGCAGACAGCACCTACATGCCTCCAGGTAAGCTGGAAAGGAATCCGCTTAGCCCAGCACTCAGCATGTCACCTGGGTTGCCAGCCAGCCTTTGCTGCGGGCGGGTAGTCTGTCTGTGTGGGTGTTTAAGGGTTGGGGGCTGATCGTGGGTCTGGACGGTGGACATGGGAAGGTGCCCTAGAACATGGTACAGGTTCTGTGGGCCAGAGGTGTCCTGGGCCCTGCCAGGGGAGGGCTGGCTCCTGGAGGTGCTGCCAGGAACCTGAGTCCATGGTGGAGGCCTGGGATCCTGCTCACCCAGCAGCTCTTCAGAGACTACACAGGCTGGAGAATCGGGCCCTGGTCAGGTGGGCTGGCCCCTGGCACCACAGTGCAAGACCTGATGCTGGTGGGGAGGAGAGGCTGATGAGAGACAAGGCTTTCCCTCCTGTGGTCAAGGTCCTTGAGCACAGCTCAGTCCCCTGTGTGTCAGAGGCAAGGGAGCCAACGCATCAAGCTAAGATTGAGGAGAGGTTAGACCTTGTTCCCAGCTCTCTGCCCTATCTGGCTGGGCCAAGTAGCTTCTCTGTCTTGGTCCCCATGGGACAGGGAGCAGGAAAGGTTGGGAGAATGTCGATGGTTACTTTGGCCCAGGGCCTGGTCCCCAAGGCTTCACCCTATGTCCTTGGGTGCTGGGGGCCTCAGGGCTTTGTGCTCACCTCTCACATGGGGCAGGTGGCAAGGCAGTGATCTGTCTTTGCTCCATCTTCCGTGTCATTCCAGGTTTCTACCCTCCTCCAGGCCCCCATCCACCCATGGGCTACTACCCACCAGGGCCCTACCCACCAGGGCCTTACCCTGGCCCTGGGGGCCATACGGCCACGGTCCTGGTCCCTTCAGGGGCTGCCACCACAGTGACAGTGCTGCAGGGAGAGATCTTTGAGGGTGCGCCCGTGCAGACGGTGTGTCCCCACTGCCAGCAGGCCATCACCACCAAGATCTCCTACGAGATTGGCCTGATGAACTTCGTGCTGGGCTTCTTCTGCTGCTTCATGGGGTAGGTGGTATAGCGCTTGCTGGGTGGGGAGGCTGAGCGCACCCACCACCACGCTGGAGTAGGCCCCGGTCCTCGGCGCCTTTTCTTCAGGCCTCCCTGTCTCTCCCCATCTCCGATTCAGGTGTGACCTGGGCTGCTGCTTGATCCCCTGCCTCATCAACGACTTCAAGGATGTGACGCACACGTGCCCCAGCTGCAAAGCCTACATCTACACGTACAAGCGCCTCTGCTAACGGAGCCGGGACTGGACTCCCCACTGTCAGTCTGGCCCCCTGTGCTTTGCTCCCCGCGCTCAGTGGCTCGCTTCCCTGCTCCCACTTGGGGGTGGAAGCTGTTCCACCAGTCCGTCCCCTGGAAGTCTTGTCTTCTTCACCTTGCCCTTCCCTGAGCATCTGACTCTTTTGGCAAAAATTCTGTTGGATTTTAGGCCAAGGGTCAGCAAGTGGCAGGGGGATGGCACTGAGCTTGTGTGCTGCTGGTTTGCTTGGTGTTTGTGATCAGAAAGATAAGCAGGGAATGATCTCACATGGTCTCCCTGCTGGGGTCTCTTCTTGCATTTCTGAACCAGGTACAGGTTTGGTCCTGGGTCTTCCTGGGACCAAAAGCAGCCAGAGCAGTGGCTGGTTCCCTAGACCTGGGGCCTGCACTGGGGCCTAGCCTGTAGCCACAGTCATTTCTGATCTGCTGGGCTGAGAGTGGGGGATGGACCCAGGCAGGCCTGAGTTTGTTTTTGAAGTGCTAGAGGCAGGTATGATGGTCAGAAGGAATGACTCTGGCCCTCAGAACTCAGGAACTCTTAACAGTGCCCAGAAGCCACCTGGGATAATGTGGACACTGGCACACCTGCAGGCCATGGGGTAAGAGATTGGGCCCTAGCTTGCCAAGAAGGGACTCTCCTCTGGCCCCTGCCCAGCTCCCTTTCCAGCCACACCTCTGTGAACCCTGGTCTTTGCTAGGGCCAGAAGGAATGCCCAGGAGCCTAGCCCATCTGTGTATACCATGTCCTTGCTGCATGTGGGCACAACCTCTGTGGGGTGTGTCGCAGCTGGGACTAGAGGTGACAGAGAGGAGGGGCCTCCTTGCAGGCACACTCAGATCTGCAGTGCACTCTCCACGGATCCTCTTCCCAGTAAGCGCTGCGCCCTTTGCCCTGGCTGGCTTGCTGTCACCTGTCACTGTGCTCGCTCCAACAGCGGGCACTGCAGCAGGAGCAGCTGCAGCACTGGACGGGGGACAGGCTGGGGACGAGAAAGGAGCAGCCACAAGTGGCACAAGTGCCCTGGTGGACACCAGCCCTGCCCTGGGCCCACACTGTCTATTTCCTGAATGGTTTGTCTGTGAACTTGCTCACGTGGACCACTGTATCCTGCTGCCGCCCCTCTCCTGGTCTCGCACTGCCACTGCATGGCCTCCTGTCACTGTGAATCGTGGCTGGTCTCAGTTTATAGTTTCTCATTAAATTGGCCCTTTCACTCCCCTGCCCGAGGCCTCTGCTCTCTTGCCTGGCTTCCTTTTGCGAGGGAAAGAGGGTGGGGGGTTGAGTCCTCAGGGTGTCGGTGCTTATGCCAAACCGACTATCCAGGAACAACACTGCTATCTCAGCACCTAATTAAACCCGCCAGAGCCCAGTGTGGATGAGCCCTAGGATTCCAGCTGTGACTGCATCAGGAAGTTGGCTTCATGGTACTGATAACATGTAACCCGCCTCCACACCATGCATCCACCCACAGGGTCTGCAAGCTGGAGACCCCCAGCTAGAGCTCAGGGTCATCCCACCCTGCAGGGAGGTACCCTCACTCCCTTAAGCAAGACAGAGCCACTGGGGCTGAGGCTACTGGGGGTGGGCAGGCAGCTGGGCCCGCAGGTTCTGGCCGGCTCTGCCCCTGCCCCTCATCTGACTTGTGAAGGCAAGTGGGCTCGGTCAGTTATTGAAAAAAGTGTCCCCACCGTTGAACCCTTTTCTGAGTAAAACTTTCACAGATCCTCAATATATAAAACCGGTAATAAATTCCTATTAAAATAAATACTTCATTTCTATTGCTCTTTTATCTTAGTTATTAAAAAAAAAAATCAAAAAGTAGGAAAACTCCAAGCACTCTGAGAATTAGAAAACCACGGGACCGCATGGACTTTAAGGGTCTTTGTGAGATGGTCACAGTGACTCTGCCCTGGAGAGGTGCGCTGCTGGAACGGGACCAGCAGTATTGGGAGCACATGAGGGGCTGCCAGGGGCCATCGAGAAGGATGACATCACACCAGGAAGGAGCGAGGCAGCTGTCAGAGTCCATTTTATTGAGTGCAGTAGCATTTCCACAGGTTAGAGAAGACAGGCCATGGGCAAACAGACCCCACTCAGGTTTCTGCTTGAGAGGCATGAGGACTGGCGACCCAGGACAGAGCTCCCAGGGCCTCTGAGGCAGGGTGCAAGCCTGGCTTCTGCCTCTTTCCTGGCCCCTGCCCCCAGGAGAGGTCCTGCAGAAGAGCAGCCACATCTAGGGAGCCCCCCCGACCCCAGGGCTATGGGAGCCTGAACTTGCTAGCTACTCCACTCCCAACAGGGGAAAGATACCCACCTAAATGCCAACATGACGAGGAAGAGCAGAGGGAAAGAGCCTTGGGGTCAGAGGTGTGGGTGCCCCAGCAGCAGAGCTGGTTCCAGAGGCCCAGGCTGGCCCACTGAGCTGCACTGGCTGCTCCTGCTGCCGTGGCCTGGGGGCTGCAGGGAGGGTGGGCCTGCACCCAGGTCCGCATTTGGCCCACAGATGGGATGCTGACAGGCAAAAGCTTTAGCATCTGGCTTTTATTGGTTGCTTGTTTTCTCAAGCCCAGCATTAAAAAAAAGTCACCTGAGGTGGTAGTTTGGTCGTGGGTGGAGGTAAGGGCAGGCCAGTGGTCAGGAGGAGGGCGCCAGCATGGGTGGTGGGTCCTTCACATGTAGTACCAGGCCAAGAGGCCGGCAGCCAGGGCCACGCTGGCAGCCAGGATGAACTGGAGGCTGGGCTTGCTCAGTACAGCTAGGACTGTTCGGAAGGGGCAGCTGCTGCCCTCCAGGGCACCTGCACGGCAGCACCAACAAGGGACATGGCATCAGCAGGGGACACGGACACAACCACCCTGGGGGGAGCTCGGGACACACTAGACCTACCTTTGTCTTGTTTAGCAGCGTAGTAGGGGCATTTCCGCACATCTCCTTTCCCATCGTGCACAGGGAGCCCGTCCTCCAGGGTCTCTTTGGCCAGCAAGGAGCCAGCCTGGTCCAGTTCACTGAATATCTGCAGGTGCAGAGGATCGACAGCCATCACTGGACTGTATCCTCTGTTTTCAAAGAAAAATCTCTCCCCCGGACACGGAGCTGGAGCAGGCGAGGCTTGCTCAGGAGTGCAGAGCAGCAGCCCCAGTCCGTGCCCCACCGCCGAACTCTGGGAGGTGTGGCCGCGCCTGTGCTGCCCAGACTGACAGCCCACAACTGAAACTACCAGGGGACAGATAGGAGGAGAAAGCAAAAGCGCTGCCCCAAGACACTGTGTGAGCACTGGTACTTCCCTACTTCCAGCCACTGGGTATTTTTAGCAAGAAACAACAGAAAAGGAGGAACATGGGAAAATGAGGCCCTGACAGGGCTGATCTAGCCTAAGTGGCCCTCAGAGGCCTGCTGAGATCAGACTAGGGCTGCCAGGCCTGTGGTCAGGCTGGCGCTTCACCACCTCCTGTGGCAACTTTCTGGTGCTGAGGGCTGGGCCTAGGCTCTGGACACAGAATCAACCTCCCCAGACTTGGGCCCATCTAACAGCTACTTGTAAACTGAGTCATTCTCACTCTCCTTGGTTCTCTCCCTGAACTTATCAAGTAGGACTTCTCATAGCAATCCTTGCTAAAAAGGGGGAAACCCATTCCTTAAGACCAGGATCCTGGGGTGAGAGGGAGGGAGATGGCTCTCTCCTTCCCAACCCCTCAATGTGCTGGGGCCTCGCCTTCCCAAAACACAACACACAGGCTATCAAACAAGGCAGAGCCATGACTGGGTTCATGCTCTCTGGCCTGTTTGGTCCCTTGACTTTCTCTCGGGCAGGCTATAGCTCCTGTCCTAGTGCACTGATGCCCATTTGGGCAGCCCCTCTGTCCTAGTGCACTGATGTCCATTCAGGCAGACCCACAGCAGCCCCCCGCGGTCAGAGGCCCTTTCCCGCCTGACCCCTGGCAGTACCTGCATGTTGTACTCGAAGGCCTTGTTGGCCTCCTCCACGATCTTCTCTTTGGTCTTCAGGTTCAGGTCCAGGGCGTTCATCCTGGCCCGGTAGAACTGCTTGAACTGCTGTGCATTGTCCACATTCTCAAACAGGTAGAACTGGGTCCCTTCCCCTGTGCTGGGGAGTTTCAGGGCCCGCTGGGCCACCTTCTTCAGCACCTGGCCCCCTGAGAGGTCCCCCATGTAGCGGGTGTAGGCGTGGGCCACCAGCAGCTCTGGTTCATTCTGCCCCACGCAGTGGATCCGCTCCACGTACTTTCGGGTGGCCTCGGAGCACTGCACCTGCTCCTCCCAGTCCTCACCATAGAAATACTCCATGTCCTTGATCAGCGCCGCCTTCCGGTGCAGCTCCAAGGGGAAGTACAAGGGGGCAAAGGCCGGGTGGTCCTTGTTCCGGTCCATCTCTTCCTCAAGTGCCGAGTATGTGAAGTACAGTGCAGTGGTGGCCAGCTGCCGAGGGCGATGGGGAGACCATGGGAAAGGGAGACCTTGGCCAGCAACTCCCGAGCCCACTGCCCACACTTCTGAGCAGCTGTAGACAAAAGCTCGAGTAGCACCCCCCTCCATTCCCCAAAGGCCTACTTTTATACAGTGAATTATTTCACATGCGCAGGAAGCTTTTGTTTCTTAAAGGAATGACACGGTGAATTCTTTGGAACATGGATCACTTTCTTTACATCACTATGTTATTCCACTTAAGACATGAAACCACAGCCTGACGCTGAGAAAGCATGTAGTATGGAGAAAGGCTCTCCGGGGGGCTTCCTCATGGGACTAAGGCCCCCAGCCCGACCCAGTCCATGACCTAGGGCACAAACCTTAAACAGCTCCTTCCTGATGTTGCCTTTCAAGAAGTCCTTGACAAACTGGGTGTTTTCTGCCCGGTCATGCGCTTCCTTGGTCCCTTCCTTCAGGAGCTCGGAGAGGTCCGCCATCCTATGGAGAGAGCATGCGTGTGTGAATTAGCCCTTCCCAGCTCTAGGCTGACCACTTGCTGAGCTAGAGGCAGAGGCTGCTCAGAAACTTGATTCCAGCCTCTTACCAAGAAGCACAGGGCAGGCAGACGTGAGTCTGTTCCAAGGACTTGGGAGACACTCTGGATGACTGTGACCTACTCCTCCACAGTGTCCGTGTCTCTCTGAACCACCCAAATGAATGATGCTTTGCTTCTGTGGCCCCCTAGTGCCCGAACAAACACACCACAGCGTGTGCTGGCTTCAGGGAACAACCTTTGGGAATGTCTCTCCTGGAATCCACACCACTGAGAAGGACTGACCATGCATCTTCTGGGGTGGCCCTGCTGCTTTCCTCCCACCTTGGACCCACAGTGTCTTCAGGATTACATGTGGCTGGGTCCAGGAGTAGGAGGATGCAAATGAGATCAAGGCCGGGGAGGTTAGAGCCAGGACCTAGGTTTGTGCTGCTTAACAAAATTATGCAGGATGGAGTGGTGCTGACAGATGCCAGTAGCCAGTACCAGACAAAGTGGAGAACGCACCGAGTAGGGGCTCACGTGCGTCCATACAATCATCTACTAGAGCGAGAAAAACTTGACCTCTCGAAGCCTAGCCTCTGTTGGCTTCTTTAGGAGACTGGCTCATATCACTCATGTGCTGACAATAGTTTATTATTAGCAATTATTTCAAGATATAAAAAAAGAACTTTGCTGGAACTCTACTCACTGCTCTGTGGTGACCTAAATGGGAAGGAAATCTAAAAATGAGTGGATATATGTATATGTATAACTGATTCACTTTGCTGTACAGCAGAAACACAACGTTGTAAAGCAACTATACTCCAATTTTTTTAAAAAAGAACATGTGATATATATATATATTATACATACATGCATACACATATATGGAATGGAATATTACTTAGCCACAAAAAACAATGAAATAATGCCTTTTGTAGCAACATGGATGGACTTGGAGGGCATTATGCTATGTGAAATCAGAGAAAGACAAATACTAAATTCCACTTACATGTGGAATCTAAAAAATACAACAAACTAGTGAATATAACAAAAAAGAAGACTCACAAATATAGAGAACAAGCTAGTGGTTACCAGTGGGGAGATTGAAAGGGGGAGGGCAATATAAGGGTAGAGGACTAAGAGGTACAAACTACTATGTATAAAATAAGCTACAAGGATGTATTGTACAACTCAGGAAATATAGCCAATATTTTGTAATAACTATAAATGGAGTATAACCTTTAAAAATTGTGAATCACTATACTGTACACCTGTAACTTATATAATATTATACATCAACCATACTTTGATAAAAAATAAATATTCAGAAAAAAAAAAAAAAAAAAGAACTTTGCCAATGACAGGGCTACAAGGACAGGCTAAGAACAATGAAGAACAGGCCCAGGTAACTAGAGGCTTTGAGTGAACTGGTCCTCCCCAGTGAGGAAAGGCCTGAAGTTAGAGTTGCTCCCACATTCGAGGGGGTGGGAGACACTGGAAAAGGTGCCAACTTTGCCTCTGATTACCCTTTCTCACCCCAGATGACAAAACGCTTAGAATTTTAAGAAGAAAAAAGGACCAGGAATACCATCAAGTTCCACTATTCAGCATTCCTAGCAGTGCCCGTCCTGCCTCCTCATATGATGGAGATGACAGTGAGAAGGAGCGGGCAGAGCGCTGAGCAGCCCAGGGTGCCATATGCTGTCTCTTCAGTGCCAGCCTGGCGTCCAGGGACCACAGCAGCATGACTCTGACCACACCTGGTGCCTCCAGCACCTGAAGCCAGGTGTGCTGGGCATGGCAGGCCCTGGGCCCACCTGACTCAAGATGGCCAGCCCCCATCGCTCACCTGGTGTGGTTTTCTTTTTCTGGGGCCCCAGAGCTCTTTTTCTCTGGCTCATCCACCCCCTCTGAGGTCTCCAGTTCCGCTGACATCGTTGCCAGGTGTGGTTCTTGCTGCTCTCACTACTCTGGTCCTGCAGAGACATGAGGAGTAGGTGATGCGGCGCCCACGACAGTCACGTCCCCCAAACACCTGCTGGCTCTGCTCTCCCCTGAGCAACATAAGCAAAGAGTCACCCACGTGCCTCAGGAATGTTTTCGTTAAAAATAAAGCTTTGCCGTTACTGGGACTATGCTGCATATGGACAAAACATGAACAGTGGTGACAGTATTGTACTGATGCTGAACTTGCTGTTTTTTATAATTGCACTGTGGTTAGTTAAGAGAACGTCCTTGTTTTAGGAAACACATACTGAGGTATTCACAAAGTAACGGGGCATACTACCTGCAACTTATTGTCAAATGGTTCAGAGACAGAGAAAAAGAGCATGCGTGCACATGTGTGTGTGTGTGTGTGTGTGTGTGTGTGTACAGGCACGTACATGGAGGGGGAAGGACACACAAGTAAAGCACATGAGGCAAAATGCTGATGGTAAATCTGGATAAAACGTACACAAGAGTTCTATGTACTATTCTTACAACTTTTCTGTATTTCTGAAATTATAGCAAAATTAAAAGTTATCCAAAACATAAAATAACAAAGAAAACATCATTTAAAAAAAAAGAGCAGTGCAGCAGCTCTCAGTGCGGCAGCAAGCTCATCTGAGCCAGTCCAGCCTACCTGTTAAAGGCAGGTGGCCTTGTGCAGAGAAGCACACAAAGTGGAACGTCAAGCCAGGCCATTCAGAGCAGCTCTGCTTTAAAGCAGAGCTGCTTGAAAGGCCCCTGAAAACCTGCCTCAGCTACACTGAGTCACCACGCAAGCAAACTGTCCCCAGCCCACTCCAGACTCTGCCCGGCTGATGGAAATAACAAGTTAGCCAATCGGTGCCTGCTGCTTGCTGCCACGGCTGAGCCTTCGTCAGCCAGGGAGATATGGTCCCAGAACACAACAAGCTCACCCTCCACCCCGGCAGTGCAAAGGGGTGGGTGCCCATCTGGGAAATTTCCAGATGAACAGCAGCACAGCTGCACCAACAACTAACAAAGTAACGCAAGACCAGGGCTACCAACTCAGGCCAAATCAAGCCAAGAAAAGAAGAGACCTTAACTTTCTACCTCAAGCAGCATCTACTTACTGAGCATTACTGAGCTCTATCCAGAAACAGGTACTTCTTTGTTCAAGCAGAACAAAGAAGTATAAGAAATGGTCTTTGAAAGGTATAAAGAAGGCATAAAGGTCCCTGAAAGGTATAAAGAGTAAAAAACAACCTCTATCTCACCCCACAGATACAACCACTGTTAGTATTTTGCTAAATATCCTGAGTTTTCTCTAGATAACATCTTCTTTGTTATCTTTGGGGATATTATAAGGCATGGTTTTGCTCAGCAGGATCTTTCTGAACCTTCTCTCACCTTTAGATTTAGTATTTATACAATTGGATTAATGATAGGAAGGATTCAGTGAGAACACGGAAGCATAGTGCCTGCCACTTGGTAAGCACTCAGTAAATATTAGAGATAATGGTTTGTACTTGCCCAAGAACACTTAGAAAATAGCAGAAAGTTAAATAAGCCAGACAAAGCATGGTACCATTTCCATGCACAATCTTTAAAAAAAAAAGGTTCAGTTCATAGAACACAGTGGAATGGGGGCTGCCTCGGAGTGGGGGCAATGGGTAATGCCTGGTAAAAGGGTACAAATTTTCAGTTATAATATGAATAAGGTCTGAGAAGCTAATGAATAGCATAGTGGCTATAGCTGATAATAGTGTACTGCGTAACTGAAATTTGCTAAGAGAATAGATCTTCAGTGTTCTCACTTAAAAAAAAAGGTAGGGGCTTCCCTGGTGGCGCAGTGGTTAAGCATCCGCCTGCCAATGCAGGGGACATTGGTTCGAGCCCTGGTCTGGGAAGATCCCACATGCCATGGAGCAGCTAAGCCCACCCGCCACACGTACTGAGCCTGCACTCTAGAGCCCGCGAGCCACAGCTACTGAGGCTGCATGCCACAACTACTGAAGCCCGTGCGCCTAGAGCCCGTGCTCTGCAACAAGAGAAGCCACAATGAGAAACCCGCGCACCACAACGAAGAGTAGTCCCCACTCACCGCAACTAGAGAAAGCCCGCGCGCAGCAACGAACACCTAACACAGCCAAAAATAAATAAATTTATTTTTTAAAAAAAGGTAAATATGTGAGGTGATGGATGTGTTAACTTAATTGTGGGGATCCTTTCACAATGTATGCATATACCAAATCATCACGTTGGACACTTTAAACAATTACAATTTTGTCAATTATAACTCAATAAAGCTGAAAAGAAGAGAGAAAAGAAACAGCAAAATAGGGCTTCCCTAGTGGCGCAGTGGTTGAGAGTCTGCTTGCTGATGCAGGGGATACAGGATCGTGCCCTGGTCTGGGAGGATCCCACATGTCTCGTAGCGGCTGGGTCCGTGGGCCATGGCCACTGGGCCTGCACGTCTGGAGCCTGTGCTCCGCAACGGGAGGGGGCGCGGCGGTGAGAGGCCCGCGTACCGCAAAAAAAAAAAAAAAAATAAGAAACAGCAAAATATAGAAAATGGGACCTTCTTTTGACTCCAAATTAGATACACTCTTCTCTATCAAAGTGTTGGTGACGGTATGGTGCAGACCATCAACAACAGACGGGATCTGGGGTGGGGGAGAGGAAGTGCCTCTAGATCAAGCAACAGTATGAACAAAGCTAGAAACTGGACAGTCCACAGAGATGGTGAAAGGCTACCCAGCTATGTATCCTCTTTCTGAGGGGTCGAGGTAGACTCTGCCAACTGTGGAATAAGCCCCACATAGCTTCCCCCAGCTTGTTCATACTGACCCAACTTTACAGACTTCTTTTTTGGCCACACCGCACGGCCTGCGGGATCTTACGGGATCTTAGTTCCCTGACCAGGGATGGAACCCGGGCCCTCAGCAGTGAAAGTGTGGTGTCCTAACCACTGGACCACCCGGGAATTCCCCAGACTTTTAAGAAAGAACATCTGAGCTCCACTCCCTTAGGGACCCTGAGAGCCACAATTTGTCCCCAGCTGCTCGGCACTCAGACTGCAGAGAGGAGAGGGTGCTGAGATGAGAGTTCTAGGCTTCCCAGAGGAGGGAGGCTGCAGTAAAAGGCCCCAGAGGCTCTAGGCAGGTGCACGGCCACACTGAGGACATGCCCCAGGCACCTGAGGACTGCAGCCCGCATGCTACTTACAGGAAAAAACTAAAATCAGGCAAAGACAAGAACAAATGCCATTTGGTTGCCTAGGTTACCAACTGCAGTAACTTAGGTAAATTCCTCCACCTGATCATCATGCTGCACAGCAGTGACTGTATGAGCGATTAAATCTGACCATTAACTGTTTTACTTGATAACTGCACGTTCTGGGAGGTGTAGTCACTTGAGCAACAAGGCTTCTGATTCTCTTAAAAACACAGAGGAAGGCAAAGCCAGTTTTCCTCCAGTGCCCGTCTTGGCATTTTTTTTCTCAGCAGCACTTTATTTGTGCCAGTCCTCCCTCAGGCACACCCTCCGCCCACCCTCTTCAACCTGGTCCTGCCCAACAGCCCCTAATTCCTTCCTCCCAGCACTCAGGAGGCCCGACTCTGCCCCCAGGGGCATGGCCACAGCTGTCTGCTTCACTGCTGTAGCTCCAGGGCCCCCAAAATAACAGGCTCTCCATAAACACATGTTGAACAACAAATCCAAAGGAATGAAGGTGGGTGTAATGCGTGCCGCCAACAGCAGGCATCTGTGGCCAGCAAAGCGCACTCTGCGGTCCACTACTTCAACAGGTTCTAAACTCAAAACACGGTTTAAGGATTTTGCTTTGAAACAAGGACAGATACCAGCTTATTCCATCCCAGCGGCAAGAATACTGAGTCCTTACGCAGGCTAAAAACTCCATCTGGCAGGGAAGGAGAACATTCTCAGCAAGGCTCAGTTAGTACATTCAACCCACACAGGCTCGGTGCCAGGAAGAGGGCTGTGTCCATTCCTGAGGCCTGGCCACTGTTCCTCAAGGGAGTGGCCTGGGGTGCAGCATTCAGGAGCCACCTTGCACGTCAGAAACAGAAATCACTTCATTCTCTGAAAAGCTACATGGCCAAACTTGGTCAGGCTGACCTCTACACTCAAATCCTTTTTTCTTTGTAGGAACCACTGTAATCCCTAGAAAATCAGAGGCCAAATCATAAATGTGGAACCTTTCTACACTTCAACCTCTTGTTATCAAAAAGAAGCTGCCCCAACCCCCCAACAAAAACACAAAAACAGAAAGATCCCAAAATATTCCACCGTGGGAAATACACTTCAAGAAGTATTAATAGTAATCAAAATGATAAGTAGCCATACTATGACATTTGAAAAAAGTCACACAGCCTAACAATACAGGGCAGGGCTACTCAAACAACAGTAAACAATGGAATCCTGGCACCACAGCAACAAGTTGACGGGCTCTACCCCTGCATAAAGAAGTCTACATAAACTTCTTTGTTAAAAAAAAGGCCCCCAAACACTGACTACGACTATCTACAACTAAGTATACTGATGGTGACAGGAAGGGAATTTGGAAAACTATGAATACTTGTTATCTGTTGGACTTTTTAGCTAACTGGCTCCTTCTTTCATATAAAGTGGCTCAATTCTCTTGAAAGGGGGGAGGGAAAGGCATGGGAGAAGGGAGAGAGAGAGCAATTGGACCAAGGAAACCAGCTAAGACCCTGTACTGTACCAAGTGGTCACCAGGAAGTCCCCTGGACCCTTTACTTTGCTCTTACTAATTCTAGAAAGGTCGATCTGCCCTCTCTCTTCTACTTCCAGAAAACTGTGACTCTCTGTTCGTAAAATCTACTTCCATAACTCCATAATTCCTGTACTCCTAGCTGTTCACCCGATCACTACTGGTTTTCACTCCCACTCCCACACCTGATCTGAGAGAAGCGGCAACAACGTCCCGATCACCAATGTTCCCTCCTGTGGACCTGGCCCAGCAGATCCACAACACTCATTTCAA